CTTTCTTGTGCATGTTTTTTTTTTGGTCAAATTTAAAGTCCATGTACAGCATCTATAACCAGCGTCAAACGTTTAACCATTCAATTATTAACTGTATGTCTCATATTAAATCATAAACATGCGTGTAAGTTTTACACCAACAGTTTTATTATTATTATTTATTATAAACTAATATATTACAAAGACATGACAAAAAAATGTATTGCTTTTTGGTCAGCTCCTCCAACGATTTTGCCGCTGTCAAGTTCGGCAGCTAATAGAGAGGAGGGTTCACTCCACTGTCCTGATGTACTCTTTGCAAATCCACTGAGAGTTCGACAGCATTTTGGGGGTATTTTCTTGCAGTTTGTTAAATCTGGCATCTTATGTTTTAGCCTCTTTAAAAGAAAAAATCAGGAGAATTTCTTTAATTGAAGAGGGGATCCGCAACTTATGCCAGGGCCAAGTTGCTGGCCTCTCCTCGTCTTTCCCCGTCCCCGTCAGTGGATTGTCCCAAAGACAATTAATGTAAATACTGTAAAAACTACCTCATGTTTACTTCAGCATCTTTGCACTACTCACCACTGCACTATTATCTTATATTATCCTATTTAGCCTTGTACATATTTGCTTATTTGTTTATTTTTGTGTTTATTGTTGATATTTAATATTATACCTTTGTACAAAGAGAGCACAGTTTACCAAAGTAAAATTCCTTTTGTGTTTAAGCATACCTAGCCAATAAAGCTGATTCTGATTCTGATTCTGACATTAAACAAGGGATTTGTCAGTGAGGTACAAGAGACAAACTGAACCACTTACATGTGTTTTATTATGTGAGCCCAGATCTCTCTCTCTCTCTCTCTGTCTCTCTGTCTCTCTCTCTCTCTCTCTCTCTCTCTCTCTCTCTCTCTCTCTCTCAGATCCATAAGGAACTGTGATCTAAGGCGTCCTGACTGTACCCACATTAACAATTACACTGCAATACTGACCTCCTCTATGATGCAGCCACCTGTAAAACTTGTATAACCCCGAAAGAGAGGTCATGGATCCTTCGGGAGTCTCTATAACTGCAGATATTTACCAGCCTTCCTCCTCCCTCCTCCAGTGCATAGGTTTCTGAGGCTTGACCAACATAACTTGAAGATCTCTGCTTTTGCCCCATGAACAAGAAGCCAGAGTGTTAACCAATCTGGCTCTGCTTAATGTCTACCATCTTGTCACTAACTCGCTCACTAACTCACTCATTCACTCATTCACTCATTCTATCACTCTATCACTAACTAATTAACTAACCATGGGTATAACAACAAGTACGGTTTAGAAATGTTCTTCTTTTGAAAAGTGTCAGGAAATAACAAATTAAAAAAGTCGTGTTTTGACTGACATGAAGCCACAGCCTCAAAGTGAGCTGTGGCAGAGGAAAATGATTAGAGCTGCAGTGTCTCAGGCAGCGCATGCTGCGACAATGACGTGTATAACAATGTATAGTTATGTAAAAATATGTTTTATTTTTCAACTCTGGATAATAAAGAGCAGATTCAGATTTTCCGTCTCATTATCTGTGCCTTCCCAAATTGATATCCAAATTTGTACTCATCCCTAGTGAGGAATCCGGTTCTCATCTTCTACGGGGACGTTTTGCAGTTTAAAAATAAAACAGTTTTACAATAATCTGTAATTGATTGGGTATGTACATAAATAAGTATTAAACAGCTACTGCTTCTTTAAGGCATTTTTTTGCCGTTTTGAATTGCCATGACCTCACACAGAAAAGTTTCAATTGCAAAGCATTACATGTGCACCCATGAATATTGCCAAATAGATATTTTCAGGCAGGCTGCCCCCTTAAATCTTACTGTTCTGCTTGTGCACTCAATCACCTCATAATGTAATGTTGTGACAACCCACGGGGTTGTTCTGTGTAGTGTGCGTGGTTTGCTCAGATCTTGTATTCTCCATGAGGCCTGTAGGTGGAGTATAGGGTCATCAGGCTGACACAGCACATCTAGCTCACCTGCATTTACTGAGGTTGCAGACCATGCACTCTCTCTCTCTCATTCTTAGCTAGTGACAACCTGGAGACACCCCCCCTGTCCATCCTAACTTTTTGACTTTGATTCTTACTTTTGATACACACTTTATGTAACAGTCACCCACAATCCTGACACTGCTGGTAATACGGACTAACATGTTTTTCTTGACTCTTTGGTTGTTTTTTGTTGGCTTAAATAACCATTTAACTGTGTACTCCCTTCTTTGGTTCTTATTTTAATAAGAGCAAACTTGTAACAAATGGGAATAAAAATTGAAAAGGCTGAAGGATTACATGCTGACATAGGGCTGTGCACCTCACAGTAAGAAGGCTCTGAGTTCTGATCCTCTTGGAGCCTTGAAAAAAAGATCATAAGGTAATGAAAAAAATAAACGTTTGCAACAAACGTTAAGTGTGGCAGGGTTTGTGATGTAAGCACTGTTACCTCTCAGCAAGACACTTCTGTGTTTATATCTGTTGGCTTGCTGGGTATCATTGTATTGGTGCAACTTTGTTGTGTTCCCCATGTATGGCTTTTCTCTGGATACACTCAGAGGGGCTTCCTCTGTGTTGTGGTGTTGTACAGTAAATCTAGCAGTTCATTAGATCTGCAAGGATTGGAGCAACATGTCGCTAAAGGAGATGATACACTCAGAGTGAACATGCTA